CAGGTATTTGATCTTGCTCAGCAGTTTCAAAAGTTTCTTGCCACTCAACCACATGTTATATCTTCCTCATTTGTTAAAGGTTTGACCCCCTTTAACTTGTCAGGTATATCTTCTTCCATATATATTTTTGACTCAGGTGCATCACATCATATGTCATATGATCATAAGTCATTTGCATTTTTAAATCTTACATCATCCATGTCTGTCTTGACTGCTGATGACACTCTTATCCCAGTGGAAGGTGTAGGGTATGTCTCCACAACTCATTTATCTTTATATGATGTTTATTATATTCCTAACCTCACTTTGAGTCTTTCTTGTGTTATTCAATTGTGTGATTCTGGTTATTCAATTGTGTTTTCTTCCACATCTTGTCATATGCAGGATTCATAATCTAGGAGGAAGATTGGGACAGGCTGTAGACAAGGGGGACTATATCTTTTGGATGAGATGAAAGTTCCCGATACTGCATCCTCAACTTCAATCACTGATTTATCATTATTTCGTTTGAATTCGTCTTCTACTAACTTTTATTTATGGCATTCTCGGCTTGGACATGTTTCCGCCTCTAGACTTAAATACTTGGCTTCTACTTGAGCTTTAGGAAATTTGAAAACTAATGACATTTCTGATTGTTATGATTGTAAATTTGCTCAATTTTATGCTTTTCCATTTAGTAAAAGTGTTTGTGTTTCAAATGCACCTTTTGATCTAATTCATTCTGATGTGTGGGGTCCATCACCGATTCTTACCAAAGGTGGATCTAGATATTATGTCTCTTTTTATTGACGATTATACTCATTATTGTTGGGTTTATCTTATGAAAAATCATTCTGAATTTTTTGATATCTACCAGATGTTATGGGCTATGATTAAAACTCAACATAATATTGTTATAAAGTGTTTTCGTTATGATTTAGGTGGTGAGTATACCTCTAACATATTCTATGAGTTACTTGCTAGTGATGATACTATTCATCAAATCTCTTGTACTGATACTCCTCAACAAAATGGTGTTGTTGAAAGAAAGCATTGTCATATTGTTGAAACTGCTCCTTCACTTTTGTTGTCTACTTCGGTTCCAAGTGAATTTTTGGGTGAAGCAGTTTGTACTGATGTCCATGTCATTAATAGAATACCATCATCAGTCACCTCAAGTTTGTCTCCCTTTAAAACTTTTTATGGTTTTGCTCCTGATTATTCTTACTTAAAAGTCTTTGGTTCTACTTGTTTTGTTCTTCTTCCACAAGTGGAACGAAGTAAATTGTCTCCTCGTTCTACAATATGTATTTTTCTTGGTTATGGGAATGGTCAAAAGGGCTATCATTTTTATGATCCTACTAAAAATAAAATGTATGTTTCTCGTCATGTTGTCTTTCTTGAATATATACCATTTTAATCTCTTTCTTCTTATTTTCATACTCATACTAAGTCCGAGCTTATTCATATTGATCCATTTTCCTTTGATGATGATATTTCTAGTTATTCTAATGTTGAGAATTGCATGGTTTGTACCATTGTTACTTCAGATACAAATGTATCTTTTGTCCCCACGGCTTCCCAACAACCTCTTATGATTGTTGATCCTACTCCATCTACAACAACACAACCAACTCCACCTCCTGCCATTCCTCCTCGTCGTTATCCTTCGCGTGGTTTTAAGTCTACTAAATTGCCTGATTTTGTTTATTCCACTTATTCTACTTCTTTTGCTTCTTTTCTAACTTATATTCATAGAGCCATCTTCCTATAAAGAAGTTATACTTGATCCTCTTTGGCACCAGGCTATGGAAGAGGAACTTGCTGCTTTGCACAAGACAAATACTTGGGAATTAGTACCTCATCCACCAGAAAACATATTATTGGGTCTCATTGGGTATACAAGATCAAAACTAAATCTGATGGGATAATTGAGAGATATAAAGATTATCTTGTTGCTAAGGGAGTTTCTCAACAATATGGTATAGATTATGAAGAAACATTTGCTCATGTGGCCAAGATGACCATTATTCGCACCCTTATTTCTGTTGCATCTATTCATGAGTCTCATATTTCTCAAATGGATGTAAAAAATGTATTTTTGAATGGTGGTCTTCAAGAGGAAGTTTATATGGTTCCTCCTCATGGTGTTTTTCATAATCAATGGAAAGTGTGTAAGTTAAAGAAATCCCTATATGGTTTGAAACAAGTTCCACAAGCTTGGTTTGAGAAGTTTTCTAGTGTGATTACATCTCTTGGATTCCACCCTAGTGATCATGACTCTGCTTTATTTGCCAGGTCCACTTCTCGTGGTCGTATTATACTCTACTTGTATGTTGATGATTTGATTATTATAGGTGATGATATTGATGGGATTAATAAGTTGAAGTTGCAGTTATCTAAGTATTTTGAGATGAAGGATTTAGGCAATCTTCATTACTTTTTAGGGAATGAAGTTGCCTACTCTCCTAGAGGTTATCTTCTTTCTCAATCCAAGTACATTTCTAATATTATTGAACAATCTCGTTTATCTGATAATCGAGCAGTAGATAGCCCTCTTGAGCTAAATGTTAAATATACTTCTTCTAATGGCGTTATTCTACCAGATCCCACCTTGTATCATACTTTGGTTGGAAGTTTGGTGTATCTTACTATTACTAGACCTGATACTGCTTATGCAGTGCATGTTGTGAGTCAGTTTGTTGTTTCTCCTACTACAGTATATTGAGCAGTTGTACTTTGTATTCTTCGTTATCTCCAAGGAACGTAGTTTCAAAGTCTTTTGTTCCAGTCAACCGCTTTCTTAGAATTACGTGCTTACTCTGATGTTGGTTGGGTTGGGGATCATACTAATCGTAAGTCTATCACGAGATTTTGTATCTTTCTTAGAGACTCTCTCATCTCTTAGAAGAGTAAAAAACAGGACACTGTCTCCCACTCTTCGACAGAAGAAGAGTATCGAGCAATGGCTTCCATTACAGTTGAAATAGTTTTGTTGTGTTGGTTACTCTCTGATATGGGTGTCTCTCTTTCTGGACCGACTCTTATGTATTATGATAATAAGAGTGTCATTCAAATTGCCCATAATTCAGTCTTTCATGAACTACAAAACACATCGAGATTGATTGTCATCTCACTCGTCATCACTTTCAGCATGGCACCATTACTTTGCCGTTTGTTTCTTCCGCATCACAGATTGCTGATTTGTTCATAAAAACTCATTACGTCAAACGTTTTCGTTTCTTGATTGATAAACTCTCAATGCTTCATGCATCATGAGTTTGAGGGGAGGTGTTAAATAATGGGCTTTTAAATAATATCCAATGGGCTTTTATTATAATTAAGCTAAGCGTATTATTGTCTATTTATGCTTTACTATATATAAACTTAGTAAACCTTGTATTCAACACTTTTGCAATCCTAATGGAAATCCTAGAAATTTTTTCTTTTTACTATTTCTAATGTTTACAATATATAATGGATCTTATGTGATACCTGAGTTCGAATCATAATTTGCTCTATCCTTTTGTTGAACACTTAATAATTTGAACGTTGGAGTACTACCTTGCTGATTCACCCTCTCTCCAATGTATTAGAATCTTACTTCAGTGCACCAAAACTCTATTTCATCACTCCATCACATTTATAGTTTCATGACGGAACAAACATATTTTTCTCTTTTGCAATTTTTTTCTTTTTAAAATATATGAAAGAAATTTAACACTCCTCCTTATGAATATACTTGTTGAAAACACAATACCTGATCTCGTGCTACAACTAACTATTTGCATTTTTCTTAAAAAGTTCAAATCACGATTTTAGGGGGAAAAAAATACTTTTTTATTGGAAAAAGAAAGAAAAATAATTTTCATTCTTTTTGGAAATATTCCTAACAACCAATCTTTCAAGAAAGCATCATACGATCAAAAATGACTAATTCATCAAATATTCGCTATCCACATACCATGTAGGAGTAGGTCTTACAATAAGAAAATGTTGAATTTCTCCCAAAACTTATGCGCACAGAAATAAAAAAAAATTAATTTCACTTTAAATTCTACAACATTTGCTGTCATTAGCTATATTTCATGTTCATCAAAATTTTGACTTTGGTGCTATTTTATACTATTTTCAAGTGCTATCTTACATTGTTCTTAGAAGAGTTTCATTTTCTTGTAATCACATGGCTTAAAACCTTTACATTTTGTAACCATGCTCATATATCTTGAATTCGACAACGTTTGTTTATTAATAATTTAATATAGATAAAAGTGTACATGAGTTGATCTTAATGTTTCACTAAAGCTGGAGAAAGCTATAAATTTCAAAAACAATTACTCCATAAGAATCTAGATATAAATTAGATCCATCTTCATTGTCTTATTTCCCTAAGATTTTTAATTGAACGCTATTCCCTAAACATATAATTATAATAACTCAATCCACATATTGTTTTTCCTTCCGTTGACAAACTCAATATTCAATATAGAATATAGATATTAATTGGATCCATCTTAATTCTCAGAGATTTTTAATTGAATGTTCTTCCCTAAACATATAAGTATAATAACTTAATCCACATATTGTATCTTCTTGTTGACAAACTCAATACTCAATATAAAATATAGATATTAATTGGATCCTTTGTCATTGAGATTCTCAGAGAATTTTTTTTTTTTTGATAATCAACTTTGTATTCGGAGAAAGTATAGAGGGAGTACTTAACACCTAAGTACAAAAGAGCATAACACAAAAACATTACAGTGGCTGTAAATAAAATATTACATATAGATTAAAAGATTTTTAGTCCATTCATAAAAGTTACAGAAAACCATCTTTCTAGCTCCAATAGCCAATCACCACCAGAAAAACATCATTACATTGTGAACAATTTCTTTCGGATCGGTTACCCCGTTATTGAAAATAATATCATGACGGTGTCTCCACAAACACCAATAAGCTGTCAGCCAAAATACACCCGCTCTATTATTATCACGGGAAGTTTTCATCACATTCACCATTTACATAAAATGATTACAATAATTGTTCTCCATGTCATACCCTAGACCTAACCAAATGAAAATCTTATGCCACACTACCTTTGCACAATAGCAGTTAATGAAAAAGTGATTAATTTCCTCAACCTGAACACAACCAAACACACACAAGAAAGCTTCATTGCTCAAAAGAATACCCCTTTTTTAACAATTGAAGTTTTGAAGGTATCCTATCTTGCATCAATCTTCACCTAAATATTTAAACCTTTGATGGAACCTTCGCATTCCATATCATGGATAACGCTTCCTTCACCCTATTATCCCCCACCACACCCGCAGAACTTTGTACGATCTTGGCATAATAAGAACGAACCAAATAACAGTGAGAAGCTTGGAGCGGCCAAAACATCACATCCCCAATCTTCCTAGAAGGAGCCACATGTTACAAGGTTGTTAGCAAATCCACCATTTTTGTCCTGGCCTCCTGGCTCAGAACCGAAAATTTATTCTCAACCTGCCACAACCAAAGATTACCTACCCAACAACCCATATTACTTACACTACTATTAATATCTTCAACAAACTGATATAAACTTGGAAAGATGAACCTGAACGCTCTATGCATGATCCAACATATGTTCCAAAAAGGAGCAGTGGTACCATTCCCGATTTTGATAGACATAACCTGAGTAAAACCATTCTCTTCGGTTGAGTCCCCAAGCTCCATCAAATATCTCCACCATAAAGATTCATAACATTTTGTACCAACTTTTTTCTTGAATAGGATTCGGTCCTTTAGGATCCCATAATGCGCCTCCAAAGTAACACTCCAAATTGCATCCTCTTCATTAAGAAATCTCCACAGCCATTTAGACATGAGAGCCTTATTAAACAATGCCACATCTTTGATCCTCAGCCCCCTCCCTATCCTTCTTATGTTTACATATGGAATTCCAACTAATCTAATCATTTATTTTCCTCTCCTCAGAAATATGCCACAGGAAGTTCATCTGGATTCTAATAATATTGATTTCCACTTTGGTAGGAATTTTGAAAAATGACATATAATACAGCGGCAAATTAGTAATAACAGAATTCAATAGTTCGACCCTTCCACCTATCGACAACAATCTCCTCAGCCAAGGTGATAATTTGGCCTTCATACTTGATAAAATCGAATTCCAGAATTGATTCTTCTGTGGTTGCCCCTAACTTTTAAACCTAGAAACTTAAACGACAATCTACCCAATTTGCAACACAAGAAATCACCAGCAGCAAGAAATGATTTATCATCAACTCCTATGCCAAACAACTTCCACATGTTTATTTTCAATCCAGAAATCATCTCGAAACCTGTTAAAATTACTTTGATTGCCCACAAGTCCTCCCACGGCCCTTCTCCCACAATTATGGTGTCATCAGCAAATTGGAGAAGATCGTAAGAATGATGGCCGTTGTAAGAAAAACTTGAAAACTCTCCTCTTAAGGTAGCCATACGGACCATTCCAGCCAAACATTCTGTATCAATAGTAAAAAGGTAAGGAGATAATGTATCTCTCTGCCTCATTCCTCTATGAATGACAAACTCATCAATAGGACTTCCATTGACTATATTGCTTTTAAATACTCCACCCTCCATCCATTTCAACCATCTTTTCCAAAATCCCATACTAATCATCATCTCTTTTAAGAAGTTCCAGTCTACACAATAGTACTCTTGAGAAAAATCCACCTTCAATAAAATACACTCTTTCTTCCTCCTTAGTGCATAATCCACAATCTCATTGGCGACCACCACACCATCTAATATTTACCTTTCAGGAATAAAGATTTTTTGAGACTTTGAAATGAGTTTTTCAATCACCTTGTTCAACCTAGCCGCAAGTAGCTTTGTGTGATACGGTGGGAGAACTGACTTGGGTGTTTTGCGTTTGATCGCAAATGTTGGGTTAGCAAGAGTCATCACCGACTTTTCTTTTATCCAAAAGGAAAGGTGAAAAAGCACAAGAAAGACCTTTGAGATATTTTCTTGAGTTCGAGGGTAGATTATGAAAAGGGAAGGTATTAACACCCTTTTCATCCATGGTTTTCCATGTGCTCTTAGTTACTTGCTAGATCACTTGCTTTTGTTTGAAAATGTGCTTTGTGTGGTTTTTTGAAAATATTTTGTAAAGAGGCCTTTGTTTAGGCAAACTTTGTAATGATTCTCGTTCGTAAGAATGTATACAAAGGTGTTGATCTTTTGAAAATGTTTTCAAGTTTGAAACGTGTTTTTAAAATGTAGGTGTTTGTTTTTGAAAATAGCAAGGGTGTTTTGTTTTGAAATGGAGCAAGTAACTAGGAACATTCTACCTACTCAAAAGTCTTTCATGTTCATTTCCTTTTTTTTCTTTGACATTGTTATCTTACCATTGATTTGGTAAGCAACCCCATCTTTGGATGTAAAAGGGACGGGCGTGGGTCACCGTATAACCATGATTAGCAATGTTGCAAGATATCTTAGCATATTCTTTAGGGACTAAGATCATTTTTGAAAGGCAACTATGATAGCGTCATCGAGGGACTATGATCTTGTATTTTGTTTGTTTTTACTAAGATACCTCACATGCATAATATGACCATTTTTATAAGGAAACCAAGTAGATTTATCCTAGGGGTGCTTGTGTGCAAGTGTATTGATTTTCATGCTTGATTTGTCTTTGATTAGGGTTTGCTATTGATTGGTTTTAGTCTTTCCACACAAAACCCTAATTACTAGCATTTGTATATAAAGCGATAAATTGTAGAATTTAAAATTACTACGCTATTACATCATTTAGGGGAGGGGTATACAAATTTACAAATGGGAAATATTGCAAGAATTTAAATCTAAATAAATATTACAACCATATTGAATTTTGAATAAATGTATAAAATAAATAAATAAAGGGCAAGAATGCAAATGTAAAAAAAGAAAATGTAATTTTTGTTTTGTTTTTCATGAGAAGAGGTTTTTTGACTTAATTAGTTAAAATAAAATAATTAACTTAAAAAAAGAAAAATAATATTAAGTTAGACAACTAAATTAACTTGAAGGAAACAAGTTTCTTTTAGGGTTTTTGTGGATTTAATTAAATTAGTAAATAAAAGATCCTAAATTTTAAATTGATTTTAATTTACAAGAAAATAATATAATAATATTTAAAATTTATTATCTAAGTATTTAAAAAAAGGGAAGTTAATTTATTAAAGAGAATGTTTTTAGTACTTTTGTTTTATAAGAAAATAAAATAAATAAGTGTAAATAATAAATAAAGTATTTTTGGATTTTTCATGATTAATGAAAATAATAATAATAATAATAATAATAATAATAATAATAATAATAATAATAATAATAATAATAATAATAATAAATAAAAGATAAAAAAGTAAAAAAAAAGTCACGGAGGTTGAAAAGTGAAACATGGGGTATTGTGAGAAAAAAAACTCTGGCCCAGGCGCTGCAAAAACACAAAAATGTCAAAAAAAGTTGAAAAATGGAAAAAGGTCACGCTGGAGCTTGAACCCAGAACCTCATAGTGACAGGTGCGGGCTTTAACTACTGGAGTGGTGATACATCCATTAACTTATGTAAAACCATAAATATATAACACAAATCTTGTCCTAAATACACTTCATCTTCAACCTCCATCCATAAGCCCTGCAACTTGCTCATTTCTCAACCATTTACAAAAATGTACACATTAAAAATTGCTCCATTTTTCATACGAATCCAACCATATAAATATCATGAACTATAAATCAAAGATGAATGAGAATTTTTGAAAGTATCAAATTCTGACCTAAATATTTCAGAAAGTTCAAACTCAAAATTCTCCTAGCTCAATCAAAATAAATGAAATCTATGGACATGTATAGTTTCAGGGCAATGATGTCTACATTTTATCTTCACAAATGCAAGCCTAAAAATGCCTAAATATGAAGATAGAAGTTCAAGAAAAATACCTCAAAATTGGAAGTTGTGAAATGCAAATGGGCTTGATTCAAGGTGCTGCAATGATCAAGTTAGCTTCCTCAAGTTTCCAGGAAGCTAATGTGTGATGCGGTGGGAGAACTGACTTGAGGTTTTGCGTTTGTTTTCGCAAATGTTTCGGTTTAGCAAGAGTCGCCACTGACTTTTTATTTTATCCTAAGGAAAGGTTTAAAAAGCACAGCAAAAACCTTCGAGATGTTTTCTTGGGTTCGGGGAGTAGATTATAGAAAGGGAAGGTATTAGCACCCTTTCTATCCATGGTTATCCATGGGCTCTTAGTTACTTGCTTAGATCACTTGCCTTGCATTTTAAATTGTTTGAAATGGTGCTTTCGATTGTTTGAAATGGTGCCTTGTGTGTGGATTTGAAAAATGTTTGAAAAGAGGCCATTGTGGTGGCAACCTTTGTAATGATTCTTGTTTGAATGTATACAAAGGTGTTTTGGAAAGTTTTCAATGTTTTGAAAGTGGGATTTTGAAATTGTGTTTGATGTGTGTTTTGGAAAATAGGCGAGTGTTTTTGTTTGCAAATGGGCAAGCAACTAAGAGTTATCTACCCTAAATTTCTCAAAGATCTTTGCTATGTTTTAACCCTTTTAACAATTTTGTTCCACCATTGTATTTGGTGGACAATCTTGTGTTAGGATGTTAACGGGACGGGCGCGGGTCATCGTTTAGACCATGATTGCAATAGTGCCAAGTATCTTTGGGCAATTTTTCCTTTAAGGGACTTGATCATTGTTAGGCAACTTTCGAAAGCGTCATCGAGGGACTATGATCATTTGAATTTGTTTTGTTTTTGCCCAAAGATTCCTAACATGCAATATGGCCCATTATTGAAGGCAACAAGTGGAATACCCTAGGGGTGCAAGTGTGATTAGTGTTGTCCATTTTCATGCTTGTTTATCTTGAAATTAGGTCAAACTATTTTTTGGTTAATTTTTACATACAAAACCCTAATTCTAGCATGGTATATTTAGAAAGCTTTAAAGTGCGAAAAATAAAGTTCCTAAGTTATTACAACACAATATATGGGAAGGGGGGTACAAATGTCAAATGGGGATGTTTTTTTAGCAAAAATTAAACCTAAACTATTACATCAAGAATTTGGGAATTTATAAGATATTTAATTGCACAAATTAAATAAAAATAAAATAAATATGCAAGATGCAAAAATTGTTTTTGTATGTATGTAAAAAGGTATTTTTTATGTGTTAATTGAACAAAATAAAAAAATAAAAAAAGTATTAATTTTTGAATTCTTTACAATTTAGGGCAAAACCCTAATTTCCTAAAGTAAAATGTATTAATTATTTAATGTATACTAATATTTATTAATTATGTACAAAATAAATAAAAGAAAGTATATTATGAAAAAAAAGATTTTTTAGGTTAAATATTAATAAAAGTAAAAATGTATTATTTTTTATGTTTTTATCTTAAATATTGTAATAAATATATATAAGTATTTATATATTAAATATACTAAATATATACAAAAAAATAAAATATTTATTATTTATCAAAAAAAGTGTATTTTATGTAAAATGTTTTCAAGAGGTAAAAATAAAATAAAATCAGAAAATAAACATGTTTGCATTATTTTTTAATATTTTAAATAAAAGAAGTAACATATTTATTTATTTATGTACAAATACTCATTTAAACAAATAAATGCTTAATAAATACAAAAATGGTTTGAAAAATATTTTTTATATTTTTAATATCATGAGAAAAAATAAATAAGTCAGAACAAAAAAGGAAAAGTCAAAAAATCATAAAAATAAGCTCAATGGGCCAAGGGAGTTCAAAAGTAGAAATGTGGTGCAAATAGGAAAAACAACCAAGCCCAGCCCATGTGGAGCTTCTTCAACCTCCAGACTGTTTGAACATGAACAAAAACGCGCGTTTTCTATCTCCAGATTCCTGGACTTTCAAGCAAAACTCACAACATGA